CAGCCCAGGGAGCCGCCCGCAAGTGGCCCGGGGAGGCCGCCTTGCATGTGAGCTGCACGCTGCTTCCTGGAGGGGGGAGACCCCTGCAAGCTGTGCCCGCACCTTGCCCTCTGCCCTCTCCCCTGCACTCCGCCCTGGGTGGCGCTGCTTTGGGTCCTTCTGCTGTGAGTACAGCTCCAGGCTGTATGCCACAAGTCCCCCCGCTCCTCACCAGCCCCGGTGGGGGGTGGTCGTGGGGACCCCCAACACAGCCAACTGCCCTGGGGATGTGAAGGGATGTGGTGAGGGTTCTTGCAAACCTCTCATCGTGCCAACAGCTCCCAAGTCTGGGCCCACAGTTGGAGGGTAACGCATCTTTCCAGTTAAGTCCCACCACAGTGGTCTCGGGAAAACTGGGCTGCTGGCCCTCAGGGGGAGTCTCTCTCCACGCAGGAACACAGAGAGAGCAGAGGAGAGGTTCCGGATGACGAAAGACAAGCCACAGAGCCGCTCAGAGCCAGTGCAACCTCAGGAGCTCGCTTCTCTAACATTTTAATAGATAGCAATGTTTTCATTAAAACACCTTTCAGTAATTAATTAGAGAGGCAGAGAGACACAGAGACCTCTCATCTGTTTCATGCCCCAAATGCCCATAAAGGAGCTGGGCCAGGTCAAAGCTGAGAGCCAGGAACACGGGCTGGGTCTCCCACACTTGGCCAGCGCCTGTGCCTCCCAGAGTGTGCACCAGCAGGACGCTGGAGTTGGGAGCAGAGGAAGACTTCACCCAGACACCCCGACCTGGAGTGTGGGGTTCCGATTTGGCGGCTTAGCTGCCAGGCCAAATCCCACCCACCTGTGCGCTTACTCTTTCTGAAAAAACTAAACGCGTTTCCAATGTTAACATGTTACTGCTATCATTAAAACCAAAATTTGAAAATCTTAAACAACTGCTTTAACAGAAAATCACTTCTGCCTTAATGTTAGAACTTGCGTGATTTTGAAGTAGTGGAGAAAAAGAAAGAACTACTGCCCAAGAGCCCCAGTCTCTCACAGTCAGCCTGAAATCTGAGCAGAGACGTGGGCTGGCGTTTTTTGTTTGTTTGTTTGAATGGATTGAAATTTAGCAAGTAGCAGTCAACACGTAGGTTGAATCCCGGAGACCATTAATGCTACCGTCAGCAGTCCTGGTGTACATGTCACGGATGGTTGATGGCTGGAAATTGCAGTTGTCTGTAGCATGGCCCTGCAGTTATCAACATGCATGTGCACACAGAGCACGGACATGCACACACAAGCACATGCACACACATATGAAAACACACATGAACATACACACGCACATCAGCACACTCACATGCGCACACACGTGAACACACATGCACATGCACACACATGAACACATACACAGGCACACACTCAATACACACACATGCACACACAAGCACGTGTACATGAATGCACACACACATGTGCACATACACATGCACACCCATAGGCAAGACATGCACACACACGTAAGCAGCAAATGCACACACATGCATACAGATGCACACACGCACATCCATACACTCACATGCACACACATGCACACAGGCACATGCATACACATGCACATAGAGCACAGACAGGCACACGTGCACACAAGTAAACACACATGCACATCCACACAATGCACACATGCACACACATACACACATGTAAACACACGCACACACATACACTCACATACACACACATGCACACAATGCACAAATACACATGTGCACATATAGACATGCACACACACGCATGTGCACACACATGCACGTGCACACGCATGCACACTCACCTCATTCCCGCGGCGGTCCAGAGCAGCACACAATGCCCATACACACATCCACACACACGCACTCACACACACATGCACACACACACTTGCACACGCGCGCTTGCACACGCATGCACACTCACCTCAGTCCCACGGCGGCCCAGAGCAGCACACACATGCACACACTCACATGCACATGCACACACACGCACGTGCACACGCATGCACACTCACCTCAATCCCATGGCGGCCCAGAGCAGCACACACATGCACACACTCACATGCACATGCACACACACGCACGTGCACACGCATGCACACTCACCTCAGTCCCGCGGTGGCCCAGAGCTGCTGCTCTGCAGACCTGAACTGGAATCCCGCACCTGCTGCCTCCCTGCCGGGGCTGTGATCACGCAGAATTCTCCCAGCCGCTCTCGCCCTCAGTTTCCCTCTCTGTGGAAAGCACGCGGCCGCTCCAACAGCCTGTGGGTGCCGTGAGGAGTCCGTGCACAGAGGTTCAGGGAGGCACGGGAGCCACGGCCGGTGCGGAGGTGGGCGGGCTGCGCGCCGCTGGCCCAGCGTGGGGAGCCAGCGTGGGATTCCCGTGCGTCTGCACAAGCAGCCGAGGTGCTGGGGGTGTGGCTCCCTCTGCCCTGGAGGGGACTGGGTCACAGGACTTCTCTGAGCCTCGACTGCTTACTGGAACGTTGGCATGGCAACACGGTCACCCTCGCATGGCCCTCCTCGTAGTGACACACATAGGTTCCTGCACGGCGCTCAGAGGCGCGCCTGGCCCAGTCTCGGCGCTCAGTGAAAGCTCGCTACTATTATTACTATTACCCCGAAATAGCTCAGACCCACGCCTCCTGGCTCCTTGCCTTGCACTGTTTCTTGCATCCAATCTGCTTCCTGCACACCAGACTGCAAATTTTTTTTTTTTTCTGAAAAACAAAAATGAAGACAAGGAGGAGAAAGGAGAATTCCAGGCGACAAACAGGAGAGACGGTGTGACGGTCCCGAGAGGAGGGGCGGAGAAGGCGGGCGGCCGGTCCCAGTCACCCCAAGTTGGGCAGAACGAGAGTCTACATTTGCAACACCTGGGTGAGGGTGAGACGTCTCATCCCGAAGATGTCCCCGGCGAGGCTGACGGAGAGAAAGGCCGGCTGTTTTACCCAGCTCTGCTTCTTCAGGCGTCTCCTTTGATGGTTCTGGGGGGCTTGCCCTCCACCTGGAAGCTAAGGCTCATGCATCATTGTCACCGTTGTCTAGAGCCCCTGCCCCAGGGACCCGACCAAAGCACCGCTGAGGCGCTGGCCCAGCTTCCGGACCACCGACAGGTGAATGCCGCCCGCTGTTTGCCCTTGTGTTAACAAGGCAGCAAAGGACCCGCAGGAACTGCTCAGGGGCGGTGTTGCTCGCTGGTGGAGGACCAAGGCATCTGCATCCAGCGTCCACGCGTCCTGGGGGCCAGGAGGTCCAGCGTGGGGGGCTTCCTGAGGGGCCCCGAGAACACCTGTGGGCGGGGCGCTCGGAGATTCCCCAGCCGAGCTGCTCCCTGTGAGACAGAGGAGGCTGTGGCCGCCACGCTGTGACTGGGAGGCAGGACCCCTGGACGGCGTGGGAGCCAGGTGGGTGACCGACGCCTCCTTTTCCATGTATCAGAAAGTCCGCACTGGGCACCAGCTCTGCGTGGCTCTGTTCTCAGAGCTTGGGGCTCTCAGGCACAGCAAAGACAGCACAGCCTTGCCCTCCTGGGGCTTTAACTAACCAAGGGTGGAGTGAATGGTGGCCTTGAGCCCTGGGCCACTGCTCAGGTCAGAATGCGGCTTTTTTTTTTTTTTTTGACAGAGTGGACAGCGAGAGAGAGAGAGGTCTTCCTTTTCCATTGGTTCACCCCACCAGTGGCAGCTCCAGCGGTTTGCTGCGGCCGGCGCACCGCGCTGATCTGAAGCCAGGAGCCAGGTGTTTCTCCTGGTCTCCCATGCGGGTGCAGGGCCCAAGGACTTGGGCCATCCTCCACTGTACTCCCGGGCCACAGCAGAGAGCTGGCCTGGAAGAGGGGCAACCGGGACAGAATCCGGCACCCCGAGTGGGACTAGAATCCTGGGTGCTGGTGCCGCAGGCAGAGGATTAGCCTAGTGAGCCGTGGCACCGGCCCAGAATGTGGCTTTGTGACGTGGAAGTGTAGACCAGCTACTAGGGCAGGAAGAGGAGTGTGGAGAAACGGTTTCAAGCGTCCATTGTGTTCCAGCTGACCATGCAGAATGCCCTAACCCCGTGGCTTGTGACCCGCAGAGAGGACGGCTCCTGGTTCTGGAGGCACCGGCAGATCTGGTGTCTGGTGAGGCCCCACTCCGTGTTCACAGACAGTTCTCCGGCTGTGTCCTTGCGTGGCGCAAGGGGCTAGGGCTCTCCAGGGTTGCTAATCCTACCCATGAGCCTCTGCCCTCAGGATGACTTGTCATTAAAAGACCCCTCTTCCCGCTCCCGTCACACCGGGGACCAGGATTTCAGTGTGCACGGAGCGGGAGGAGGGCGCACGTCGGTCCACAGCACATGTAACTGCAGAGGACCGGAGCTCGGGTTCTGTGCAGAAGGCAGGGGGAGTGGGCAGATGAGAGGGGTGGGTGGGGGGCACAGCACATTCAGCCCCTGCCTGGGACCCCCACTTCCCAGCCACTCCACTTCCAGCACAGCTTCCTGCTGATGTCCCTGGGAAGCACCAAGGAATGGCTCAGGTACCTGAACTCCCGCTGGGAGATCCCACGGGACCTCCTAGCTCCTGGCTTGGGCAGCCCCAGCTGTAGTGGCCATTTGGGGAGTGAACCAGAGGATGGAAGATGTCTCTCTCTGTTTCCCCTCCTCTCTCTTTCTCTGTCCCATCACTTAGGCTTTCAAATAAATAAATTTTTAAAATAGGGGTCACTTTCAGGGAACACTGTTTTTAATTGAAAAATTGGAGAAAAAAAAACACAATTTGAGGCACCTGTGGCACCAGCATCCCATATAGGTGCTGGTTTGTCCTGGCTGCTCCTCTTCCTATCCAGCTCTCTGCTGTGGCCTGGGAAAGCAGCAGAGGATGGCCCAAGTCCTTGGGCCCCTGCACCCATGTGGAAGACCTGGAAGAAGCTCCTGGCTCCTGGCTTCATATAGGCACAGCTCTGGCCGTTGTGACCATCTGGGGAGTGAACCAGTGGATGGAAGATTCTCTCTCTCTCTCTCTCTCTCTCTGCCTCTCAAATAAATAGGTAAAATTTTTTAAAAAAGAAAACCTACGACTTTAATGCATAGATGTTATGTTGGGGAATTCAGAACTTGACTGATTTTTCTCTATTATTATTTTAACCGTACATAGTCATGGGTCCGGTGTGCTAAGCCAACACACGTGCTGCATTCTACATGCAATGATCCAATCAGGTATTTCCACATCTTTAAACACAGTTTCAGTAATAGTAACCATTCCTGCTCAGGGGGCGCAGAGAGCCTGTGCTTGCCACGGTCCGGCCAGGGGAACGGCTCCTCCCTCTGTCCTCACGACTTTCTGCCTGGGGCGTTTGCACTCTCGCCTTCTATTCTTTTTTTTTTTTTTCCATATATATGTTTATTTGACAGGTGGAGTTATAGACAGTGAGAGAGGGAGAGACAGAGAGAAAGGTCTTCCTTCCATTGGTTCACTCCCCCAATGGCCGCTATAGCCGGAGCCGCGCCGATCTGAAGCCAGGAGCCAGGTGCTTCCTCCTGGTCTCCAGTGCGGGTGCAGGGCCCAAGCACCCGGGCCATCCTCCACTGCACTCCCGGGCCACAGCAGAGAGCTGGCCTGGAAGAGGAGCAGCCGGGACAGAATCCAGTGCCCACAGGGGATGCCGGCACCGCAGGCGGAGGATTAACCAAGTGAGCCATGGCGCCGGCCCCATCTCGCCCTCCATTGGCTCAGGGAACATTTCCTGGCTATGGGGAGCTCCGGCCACCCACTGCGCCGGGTGACACGAGCAACGTGTCCTTCTCTCTCTGATTTGGTGCCCGTAACCTCATCTCCATCCCTCCCAATCTAATCTTTACAGTGTGAACAAAACTTCAAGAGTAGCCCCCGATACCGAGGCCGGGCTACGCCGCAGAGCGCTGTGCAGCCGGCACAGTGTTTTGTCAGAGAAAACGCCTCCGAAACAAGAGCTGACGTTGAAACGCAGTGACGTCCTTGATTCGGGGAGCGTTCGTGAAGACCGGACGGCGGAGGACCCAAGCTCTTCATCCACAGTCCCAGGCGAGCCGTGCGTAGGTCACTGATGCATTGACGGGAGAAGCACCGCAGACAGCGGCTGATGGCCGAGTCATTTGAATAATTCTGGAAACAGCGACATTCGCTCCAGGCTTAGGTGTTCCCTAGAAATGCCTCTCAAAGTGCTCTGTGGGTCGAGATGGGCGGGGACACCTATAAAACCCGGAGATTCCCGGCTCCCTGGACCTTCAGCGGCTTTAGGGACCACGCGCGGTGCACGAGCCTTGCAGGGGATTCCGATCCGGGTCCTTGTCTGACTACACCTGCAGAGGACCTGGCCCAGGGTGGCCCCAGCTCGGCGTCCTCCCAGCACCGCGACCCCTGGGGTAGGTCAGGAATGCAGGGTGCTCATTTCCAGCCGGGATGATCCCTGTGTTTCCTGGACTTCTCAAAGGCGTTCTGACTTCATGCGTTTCTGGGGCAGGAAGGAGACTGCGTAGACGACTCCGTCAATGGCAAGGTAGGAAAGAAGGTAGCAACAAGAGCCACATAAATCAGCCAGGCCGACCTACTCCACAAATAGCAAGACGTCAGTGTGGACCTTAAAATACATTAAAGTATTGGCTGGGGAAAATACAGCCAAGAGAGAAGATACCTTACAGGTGTCCCCAGGCACGGGCAATCCACCCGCCAGACCGCCGCTCCATCTCCTTGCCAACAGACGCGCCGTCGCCATGACAGCAGAGAGGCCGGGAGAGGCAGCTGAGCCCTGCAGGTGGGAAATGTGTTCTCAGATTCACAGATAAGCCCGCCCCTCCCCGGAAGACTGACCAAGGGGTCCAGAATGTCGGGGCGATCCTTACGCCGGAGGGCAGACAGCTGACCGTCTGGGTTTCACAAGTCCTTCCACCCTCCCCTGCTCTCAAGGGCTACACGATAGATGTCAAAGACGAGAGAATGTCATCAAGCAAGACCAACGGACTCCAGACAGACGAGGTGGGGGAGGGGACGGTGTTGACATTCCTCAAAACCAATTCAAAGAAACGGTCTTACCTGCACAATGGGTGCTGTGAGCCCAGCTTCCCATGAATCTCACCATGAGCTTTCTGTGTGCCACTCAGGGCTTGCTGCCCCACACAGGGCAGAGTTAGGGTGGGAGATGAAGAGACAGCCCCCTCCTCCTGCCTTGGAGGACCAGCCCAGGGTGGGCTCAAGCCCCTGCCCCAAGCCCTTTGTCTGGGTTCTCCCGCGCCGCGCCGTGGTTCTGCCATCCTGGGCGGGGTTGCCCTGCCCCAGGTGTGCACTTCGACTCCCAGGTTCCCCCGCCCCACCCCGACCAGGAGGGCTGGCTTCCACTTCCTGCTCCACAGCCTTCGTAAGAGCCCTGGCCCCTCGCCTACTTGAGATACTGACCTGACTCTAGGGCTTCAGAGGTAGCTGCCCCCAATCCAGAGTCTAGAGGAGTCCCTGCTGATGCTGGGCAGAGTTTGCTTGGCGCCGGGAAGCAGGGGGTACCAGAAACACCTCCTTGCCTTGGGCCGGGCTCCCACAGCTCACCCGCAGCAGGTGCGATCTCGAACGTTCCAGGAGTCCTCAGAAGATGTGAAGGCAACAGGCGAGTGCCCTGGGATCTGGCAGCTCTGAGATGGCTTCAGGCAGCTGCGGTCAGGGAGTGGTGGGGCTACTGGCAGAAGCAGGTGCAGCTCATGGGAACCAGGAGGGAGAGGGACCACGCTAGGACCTGGGGCAGCAGAGGGGTTGGGAGGAGCCCGGCTCACACAGCGCACAGCTGGACAGCGAGAGGGCAGAGGGGAGTGAAACAGGCCAGCTCTCTCTGCTGCCCTCTGGAGGTGCACAGCCAGTGGCTCCCACCAGCTGCCAGAGGCCACGGACAGCTTGGTGCAGCGGCCCTCGGAGGTCAGCCTCCTGGCCTCACAGCTGGATGGAGAAGGGTGGAGAAGGGGTGTGCACATGAGAGGGTGGGGCAGGGGTGCAAGGAGACGGGCAGTAAGTGCACAAGTATTGGACAAGGAGCTAGACCAGGGCTGTGACTGTGTCGTGACCTTGGAGCTTGACCCTGGCCATGGGACTTGACCCCAAATGAACTCTACAAGGGCGGCGGGAAAGGAAGCTCCCCACTTCTGCCTGGCTTCATGACCCAAGTCAAACGATGGTGCTATGGACCGAGCCGTGTCCCCCAAATCCACGCATTGAAACCCCGAGGTGGCTGTATTGTGTCACCCCCAAATACACCTCTTTGACATAGGAGTTATTGTGAGCTGAAGGCAATGACGCAGGAAACGCTCTCTTTACCTCCCCCTTGTGTTGGAAGACGGGATTTCAACTCTCCTGGAGAGTACTCCAGAGCCTGGACCACCCAGAGACCCGGCAGAGAAATCTGCACACAGAACTCCCTCCGTCACTTCCGCTTCCCGCTGTGTTTCCTTCCTGCGGTTTCCGCCCTGGACACCGGAAGCTGCCTTCTTTTGTGCCGCCATTTCCCCACTGGGGAGTCGAAGCTCCTGCTGTGTTAGTAGTTCCGTTTGCTTTTCTCCCGTCAGTCTGGCTGCTGTTACGGGGGTCCCAGTCCACAACTTAGAAGGGTGAAGAAAACCACCTTGCCAGGCCCCTTTGTCACCTCTGGGCAGTCTGTAAGGTGTGCTATGGTTGGATCCGAGTCCCCCGTGTGCTAACCTAAGAGCTGGGGGTTTTGAGAGTGATTTTGAGTGCTCCTCCCTTGTGGGCAGAATCAATGCCTCTCCGAGCCTCCTGGAGCTTCCTTCCATGTCTGCTGCGGTCCGAGGACGGCTGTTCGACCCCTCTGGGGACGCTGCCCTGGAAGCCGAGGCTGTTGCCCTGACTGTGGACTTCAGGACTCCAGAATGCGAGAAATTTCTGTCCTTTCTCAACTGTCCCGTCCAGGGTATCTGGGTAAAGCAGCAGGAAGCGAGGCAGACAAGGCTGGAGGAGGTTGTAGGGGCCGGGCCCTCACTGGGTGGGGTCAGAGACACACACAGGAGTCTGTGCAGCCACACACAGGCCAGGGAAGGTGTGGCGAGGGGGTGGCCATCCCCAGGCCAGGATGCGGTCCCAAACCGGGAGGAATGAAATGTCTTCTGTCAACCGCCAAGCGTGTGGTGCTCTGTTGTGGGGGTCTGCGCCGGAGCGCTGGAAACCCCCCCAGGTCCTCTACACAGATCTCCAGTTCCACACAGTTGGCTGCAAATGTCTGCATTTCATTCCTCTTTGAGGGCTGAGTAATGGTCCATTGTGCAGAGACACCGTGTCTTCCTTACCCCTTCCTCCTGCAATGGATGCCTGTGCGGGTTCCACATCTTAGCTGTCGTGGGTAACATCACAATGGACATGGGTGTGCAGCTGTCTCTCTGAGATGCTGGGTAGCTGGGTCATATAGTGGATCTATTTGTTTAAACAATTTGCTTATTTATTTGAAAGGTAGAGTTACAGAGAGAGGGAGAGAGAGAGAGCGAGCGATCTTCCATCTGCTGGTTCACTCCTCAAATGGTTGCAACAGCCATGGCTGGACTGGGCTGGACCAGGAAGAAGCCAGGAGCCAGGAGCTTCATCCAGGTCTCCCACGTGGGTGCAGCGACCCAGACACTCGGGCCATCTTCCACTGCTTCCCCAGGTGCATCAGCAGAGAGCTGGATCAGAAGTGGAGCAGCCGGGACTTGAATTAGCACCCGCATGGGATGCCGGCGCTGCAGGTGGTGGTTTTACTGGCTACAGCAGAGTGTCTACAGACCCCTGTCTACGAGGGCTGTAGAAGGCTAACTGACTGCCGTGATCCGTGCCCCCCAGAAAAAGGCATGGTAGGGCCCGTGAATGCACAATTTGAAACCCAGTGGAAAGGAAAGGCTGGGAGGAGCAGCTGGAGCTGGCGACAAGGCGGTGAGTGACGGCCTGAGCTGGCGGGCCCACTGGCTGGTTCCCTTGGAGCTCGGGTCCGTCGCTCTTTCAAGGGACACCTGGGCTTCACCAGGGGATTGGCAAAGGCAATCAAGGCCGAATCCCCTGTGATAGGTCGGAAGCCACAGGGAAGGAGGCCTGGGCAGGGAGGGTTCAGACACCCCGAGGGCCTCCAGCAGGTGCAGCGGGCACAGCAAAGGAGCTGTGGTCAGGTGGTGCAGGTGGCTCTGACCGCCTAGCCTTGACCCCAGGACTCCCAGGAACATCCCTGCTGGCCCATGGGAGGAGTGACCACTAGGGGGCAGCAGAGGCAGCCCTCCTCAGGACATCAGCCAGTCTTCTACAAACACCTGAGCCAGCCGGCCCTAGCTGTGGCCGCTGGGTGGTCTGGCAGTCCACCCGTCCACCCGCAGGGCTGTCAGATCCAGAGCCAGCCGGAGGTGGCTGGAAATGGAGGTCAACTTAATGCCAGAAGCACTGACTTGACAGCTCGACCCTGGTGCCTGGACGCTGGAACCTCCCTCCCTGGGCATTCTTGCGCCAGCTTGGAGCCAGTCACCGTGTTTTGATGTGATGAGGCAGTAGATGTCTTCTGGGCCTTCAGGCCTCTCATTTTTTCCCGGGACAAAATAACTGAAGTTCACATAGGAAGCAAAAGTACACATTTTTACTGTGCTGGGCTCTCAGTGGATTTCCTAAATTGTTTCGTATATGGATTTCATTTTTTTCTGCTGAATGATTTTTAGACATTTATTTGAGAGCAGGAGAAGCACTCCCACTCTCTGGTTCACTCCCCCAAATGCCCACAACAGCTAAGACTGGGCCTGCACCAAAGCCAGGAGTCGGGAGTTCAAGCCAGGTCTCCCAGTGGGTGGCAGGTCTCCCGTGGCCTGAGCCGGCACCACTGCTCTCTGGGGCCAGGAGCTGGAGCCGGAAACCCAGTCCTCGCAGTGCAGTGTGGGACGTGGCGTCTTCGGCACCTGCTCCCCGGTGACATTTTCTGCTCAGCCGCTGTTACCCACCTCACCTTGCACAAGAAGTTGTCATGGTGACCAGGGCCCCTGAACTGGGGAGTTTCTGCTTTGGGAACTGAATGGGTTCTCTCTGCAGCGGGAGGGTCTGTTGCTAGGTCCATCCTTTGAGGTGCGGGCTGTAGTTACCGAGGCATCACTGGACGGTGAAAATCCACCCCGTGATCTTCCATGTGGCCTCCCTGCCTCTCAGCTCTCAAGGCCCCGCCGTGCACGGGAAGCTTCCGCTGTAAGCTGCCGTGTGGCAGGTTTTCCTTGTGCCTCTGCTGTCTGAGTCATGATTTATGTAGACGGAAAGATCCCTGACCACAGGTTTACACGAATCTTCCACCAGTGTGACCAGGCAATGCTTTTTCCACCATCCTCTTGTGCTTTTTCTTGGAACATTTTTATCTCTGCTTCCTCTTCATTTACATTTGCCAAATACATCTTCGCCTTATTTTTAACCTTTCTGGGTCATTTTATTTTTAGATGTGCCTTAAAAGCAGAATAGATTTAGAAAAATTAATCTGAGTTTCAAGAGGAATTTCTCCCACGTGCACTTGCTGTGGTAATGAATCTGAGAAACCTGTCACTTCATTCTTTTGTTCTTTTTAAGAAATTTTGTCTGGTCTTGCTTCGTGTTTTCTCTTGCAATGTAAGCTCTAGTTTGCTGCTTTAATATGTATATTCTTTGGTAGGTTGGCACAATCATTTTATTTCTATTAGTCATATGTGTTACAATTTACCAAAACAGTTTTTACTTTTATTAAATATATGGATTTTTTTTAAAAAAAGATTTATGTATTTATTTGAGAAGCAGAGTTACAGAGAAAGCGAGAGACAGGGAGAGGTCTTCCATCCGCTGGTTCACGCCCCAATAGCTGCAACAGCGGAGCTGCGCAGATCCGAAGCCAGGAGCCAGGAGCTTCCTCCAGGTCTCCCGTGTGGGTGCAGCGGTCCAAGGACTTGGGCCATCTTCCACTGCTTTCCCAGGCCGTAGCAGAGAGCTGGGTCAGAAGTGGAGCAGCCGGGAGTTGAACCAGCACCCGTATGGGATGCCGGCACTGCAGAGGCTTAACCTACTACGCCACAGTGCCGTTCCCGAGAGAGCTTTAATGCTAACCTATCAGTCCCTCGTGTCCGCTTGTAACTGCTCTGCCTTTCCTGCTCTGCTGTCTGCTTGTTCCCCTGTAGTTTTGGGTTTGCTTCCAGAGCCCCGGTGAGGGCAGAACCAGTGCATTCTGGTGATGAGAGGGGGGCCGCAGGGGTCTCGGGGCTGCAGGTGACCCTCGCTGGGGAGGGACCTTCAGGAATTGTAGTCCCATCCCGGGAAAGCCACCCGCCCCTACTCTGGCCTCAGCCACTCATCGTTGAGTGAGAACTACCATGCAAAGCAAAGACCCAAACGATGGCCGGCACCCAGGCTCGGCAAATTTTTGGTGCTGTCCAAGGGGCTGGGAGGCTCAGACCAAGACCAAGTTCACAAGGCGTCTTGGTTAGATGATGGAGCTGTGGCTGGCAGCACCCCCGCTGGACCCTGCAGGCGCCCACTGAACTGGACCAGGTCTGTCGCTCCCCCTCTTCGTGGAGGAACGACACAGGACCCTGCGCTGTTCTTTCGTCTGCTCGGCCCTCCCCGGGTTTGCTGCTGGTTCTTCCCGGGTTGGCTACTATCCCTTCCACCTCCGTGGAAGGGCAGTTCCCCCTGGCCACATTCCCCACTTCCGCAGGGGAGCGGCACACCGCCGGCCGGCTTTCTCGGGGGCTGCACGGGTGTTCCTTCAGCTAGATGTTCCCCTTAGATGTTCCTGGTGCATGCCGTCTCTCTCCTCCTTTATAGTCCTCCTCCGCCAATCCTAACTCGGCTGCCCACACGCCGAGCACGCCGCTCTCCAATCAGGAGCAAGTCCTACAGTATATTGGTTGAACTGGAGGCAGCTGTGCGGAAGCTGTTTACTTCTCTCCCAGCGCCATATTGTGGGAGAGCAGATGCATAGAACAAGTCTCAATTCCAGTAACTCAGTCCAGTCCGGGCTGCTCCCCACACAGGTCCTCTCGCTGCCTGCTGGATCCAGTGCCACCTGGTCCGGATTCGAATCCTGGTCCTGTGCTTTGCTTTCAAGCCGTTTCCCCTGGGAGGGCTGCCTCCGTCCAGAGCCAGGCAGACCTCTGAGAGCTTGCACACCGTGTGGACCAGGAGGAAGCCCAGGGTGGGACATCTGGTGGCCCAGTGCAGGTCACATGCCCGCACCATCAGGGAGTGAGCAGAGCCCGGCGAACACGCCTGTGGGAGCACAGCGAGAGGTGGGTGCTAGTCCCATCCAACCGCACGCTCCGGAAATTCCCCAAGGGAATAGGGTTCAGAGGTCTGACATTTGCAAAAGGGCAACTGTGCCCGGTATGCAGCTGTCCAGGCTGGAGGCTCGAGAGGGGGAGGGGGAGAGAGAGAGAAGACTGACTCAATTTCACGAGACATACAGCAAGCCCTTCCTTCCACCACGACGAAGGATGCCGGTGTTGGGCTGGACAGGAGATGAAGTAGCCGGCAGCTCTGTGGCGCCCTCCTGTGGGCCAGGACGGGACAAGTGGTCCCGGGCTCCGAGGGCTGCCAGCACGGGGCGGGGGGGGGGGGGGGGGGTGTTCCCAGCAGCCTGGTGTGGTGGTTCCTGGGGGCTGCCTGACCCAGAACTGACCTGCCAGCCCCTCCCTTCTGAGCCTGCACTGGAAGGAGGCTGGGAGCCGGGGCTGGTGGCACCCTGTTCTGTGCAAGGTTTGTGGGGAAGGCGCTGTCACTCCCGTGCCCAGAGATGAAGCCACCACAGCCAGCAGGGACAGTAAAAGGGGCAGCGTGGATGGACAGCTCCCCAGGACTGGTGCCTCTGTCCAGCTTTCCATTCCTGGCTGTGCGGGTACCAGGCTGGGGGTGGGGCGCGGGGGGGGGTCACTGTGGGTTTCCCCCTCCTCATCTGTCCTCACTGCTGAGTGACAGCACCCAGGCCTGGCCCAACGGGTG